AACGCTACTGAAAATTAAGGCTGGCTAAAAAAAAAAATTTCAAAAACTAAGAATTGATCACGCTTACATGAAGAAGACAAATCATATAAGAATGCTTTTGCGCTTTTTTGAAAAGAATCTCGAAAGCGAAACATATCGAAAGATAATGAAATCTCTTTTAATAAGTGTTTGCCAAGCAGATGTTTTGTCCATGATCATTAAAATGATTAAAATATTATAATTTAAAATACACATGATTATTAGTTGAAATAGAATGAAAATATTATTTTCTTTACTGCTCTCTATCTTTTCATATTTTCCAACTTTAGTCTCCAAAATAGAGTTTTTGAAAAATCTTTCAAATCTAATATGATTTACTTCTGAAAGTTCAATATTTTCTTCGTAACATAGAAATTTGAAATGGAGAGTCAGTATTCAAAAATTAAGAAAAGCTTGGAAAAAAATATTTTTCACAATTTTTTTAAAAAGAAAATTTATAACTTTGTATTTTTTTAATGAATTAGTTTTCAAAAAAAATTATGACTTTTCTTATTTTGCACTAAAAAAGAGCAAAGAGACCAATCTTTCCGTTCAAATGTGGCCATACAATTTTGATTCAAAATTTGGGATACGTTGGTATCCGAGACAAAAAATAAAGTTGAATGTTCTAATATGAAATAAAAACTTCGAAAAGCTTAAAAAGTATTAATTATAATATTTAAATTAATTTCTCGAATATAAGCAAATAAACGTACAATTTATTATTTTGTATTCATTATACATTCAGAAAGAAATGGGAGGTTTTAATTATAGTGAATATTTCACTAAAGACATTTATTTGTTTGGCTTATGATTTAAAAAAGAACAATGCATTGCATAGTTGAGTAAGCAAACGGTATCATAGCTCACTGGTTTGATCATTATCTTTTACGGTTTTTCTCTCTTTTTTATGTTCTTTATTGTCTTTCTCATTTTTTCCAACAAAACGATAAAATCAACAGTCCATTCACTGTCTGTAGTATGAATGCAGACGATACCGAGACTTGTCTGGAATATAAAATTGCCCCTTAAAATAAATTTTTCTGTTGGTTTAATTAAACATGCTTCTTGAAGCATTCTGTAGAATTTTTTTATATACATTTCGAAATTTTTCTTCTATTCCCCTTATACTTATTATTTGAGACAAATGGAAGTTTTAAAAATGCAATTCTTCATCAACGACATAAGAAAATGCAATTCGATAAAAAAAAAAGTTTACCTAAAATTTATTTTGCAAATAGTTTCAAACGATAATTATATTTAAAAAAATCCGTGATAAATAAAAAAATTTAAAAATGCTTTGTTTAAGGAAATAAAAATAGAAATCAGAAATTGAAATACATTTCAAGACAAAAAATACATTTAAAGATCTTTATACAGCATTTCACAGTTAATCAATAATCAATTCTTTCTTATTTAACACCAATATGCATTTGAAGCTCTTTGGCATAAATCTTACAAGTGATTTGAGAGTTCTGAAAATTGCTTCGTCCAATTTTTTTTTTCCAATTCTACCTACCATTCTTTAACTGCTTTCTTTCCGACATTTTCTAATTAATTTTTCATTATTCACCTCAAATTTTGCATGGGACAGAGATGAGGCATATATTTCATTATACTTCATTATACTTCACTATCATCCACTATCATTATATCCACTATATACATCACATATACTTCATTATCATCCAGCCATTTTGTGGTTTGTCTTGAAGTGTGAGAACTAACATTATCTAGTTCTAACAAAAAGCAGCCAAGGTAAAGTGGTTCGGTAGTGTGAAATCTTTTATTAATGATATCAAAATATGCGAACGAATTAACAGTTCCATCAATGACAGATAAGCAAGTTTTACCTCTGGCTTCTCAGACCATTTACTTCAGAGAATGTTTGGATGCTGATTTAGTACCTCTATCTTTGCACCAGATTACTAATTTGTTGCTATAAAATGAAAAAGTGCTTCATCGAAAATCCAAACATTTTTATAGTTCCTGTTGAAGTTACAGACTAGCCACAATCTGGAAAAATTAAGAACTGGGGACAACTATTTCATGAGGTTAATGTAAATTTTGCAGACTTTAATTTCAAGTTGATTTTAGGAGCTTAGTTTATCATTTGTAACACAAATACTTAATTTACAAATACTTTTGATCGATAGTAATCAATTAAAATATTTTGTTTCCTTGATTTTTTTCTACCAGTTCTTAATTTTTCTAGAAGAGGCTACCCCTACATTTCATGATTTCATTTAACTCTATCATATTTTTATTTACATGTTAAAAAAAATCACTCGTTCCAACCAAATCGCATTTATCAGTTTTATGTGTGCAATTTTTGCTTTTCTTTTCAAATTAGTATTTTATCGTTCTATGCGTGATATTCTATTCTTACCAATTGCTGAGAAAAATGAAAAGTTATCCAATCTCTTGCTTTGAGCACTTTCGTTATTTTTAGATGCTTTTTCGTACGAAAAGTTGTAGCTTTGCTTTTTCAAGTAATTTCCATCAGTTTTCGGCTGCCATGAATACCTATTACTATAATAACTATAAAAATTAACTATAATAACTATAAATAAATAAAATAATTTTAAAAAATTTGATCTGTTTAGAATAGTTAGATCTGTTTAGAATAGTTAGATCTGCTTAGCAGTTAGGTTCACTTTTAATATCTTTTATACTTAAAATGAAGTCGTCACAAGAATCCCCTAAGATGCAAAACTTTAAAAGTCTCACTAATTATTTTTATTTTTATTGTAAGGAAGGGATCAGCTGTAAAGTTGTGGATTGAAGCAGCATTTTAATTTGACTATCTTGAAAAGAAAACTCTAATTTGTTCATATGGTCCCTTGATAAATAATTTTGTAAATTTGCATGCAATTTGTAAATTTGCATGCAATTTGTATTTGTAAATTTGCATTCTTAAATGACAAATAAAGTAGTGGCACCTTGGTAATACTTGGCACCATTATCTTCTGAGTTGGGTTCAATGACAAAGGGTAATAAAACCTAAAAATTTAATTTGCCGAGAATTTTTTTATAAACCTTGCTCAATATTAACAACGATTAAAACTACCATTTTCTAAAAAGTGATAGATTATTAAGTTTGAAAAAAAAATGCATTATTTGCTTTTCAGAATTGTAATTTATTATAAAAAAATATTATGAACGAGAAGAAAAGGATGTTTAAAAAAAAACTAACGATTAATTTTGTTTATTTCGTTAAATGTATAAATGTGTAAAAAGTATAAATTTAATTGCCGAGAATTTTTTTATAAACCTTGTTCAATATTAACAACGATTAAAACTACCATTTTCTAAAAAGAGATGAATTATTAAATTTGTATTCTTTTTTCTGATCATTTAAACTAACAATTATTTCATAAATGCTGCTACGTAAATTAACAATTACCTAACAAAAAAAGTCTAAATAAACAAGTTTTAAATTTATTCATGCATTCTACCTTTTTATAAATGCTCTAATTTATTACAAATTATTTTGATATTTATGCAACCTTTAAAACTAAACGATTTGAATGGTGTTGAGTTAGGCATTTTATCAATTGCAAATATAAAATAAAATGATAAATAAGCAATCGAAAATAATCATAAACATAATAAAGTGTTTGTAAATAACAAAATGGTTATAAATAGAAAATTATAAAATTTTACAAATTCAATAATTCGTATCAACTATTAGTTCGTTTCGATTACGGATTTATAATTTCAAAGTTTTATAACCTTATGATGAAATTTCTGAATGAATTAATTACACAAATTTAAAAACATTCAAAGAGTATGCATTTTAGAAAATTTCATAAAGATGTATTTGATTTTTAATCTGTTGTTATTTTTGATTTTAAGAATATTTCTTTTTTCCTCCGCAAACTTTTAGTAAATATAGTTATAAGGGAATCGATTAACTTGTAATAAATACAATAATGCAAACAAATTTAATTTTATTATTACAAATTTAATCGGAAGTGCGTGAATCGCATGCAGCCCCCAGGGCCTAATTGGGCCTAACTTAACCTAATTGGAGCCCGGGGCAAAAACTTCTTTGGGGGCCCCCTCTGTTTCACTACTTCAGTAATAAGGAATTGAAATTTATGGAGGCATTTAAAAATTTCACCTCAATATATATATATATANATATATATGTATATATATATAACAAGAAAATTTACTAGAACCTAAAATAGCTGTAAAGTCCCCCCTTCCCTCCAATGGTCCGACGAATTATCGTTCTGTCCATTTTATTGATTTTCTGATAATTCTATTTCCATCGGCAGAATGCAGGTTTCTGATTGTTAACTTTAATACATATCCTTGCTGAAATTAGGGAAGAGTGCTCGACTTCGCGCTTAGGTCGTTGGACTACCGAAGCGGGGGATGCCACCCCCTTTGCAGAGGATCAAAATTGTGACGGCATGTCTTCGGATCATCCTCAGGGGTGTTTCCCAGACCGTCGCCAAAAGCCCATTGTGCAGCTCTAATGTGACGTAAAATGAACTACAACAGCGACATTAGGGCAAAATTCAGCTAAATTTTCACAATTACGTTGGCTCACTTAATCCAATCGTTGTTGTTGTTGTTGTATCACTTAATCCAATCGGAAGCCTGTATCTTTGTAAATTCATCGCATTTTGTTATATGTGAAGTACAGGCTTGCGATTAGCCAAATTTGTCCATCGTAATTAGGAAAATTTAGCTGCATTCCGCACTAGAAGGCCATGGATTTTTGTGTTCATACGATAGATAAATGAAGAAGCTAACATAAAACTGACGGATTTTACACTGTACTTGATGTACCCCCCCCCCCTTGATGTGGGGCCCGGGGCAACTGCCCCGTATGCCCCTGTCTTTATCAGGTTCTGGCAGCCCCTGTCGGAGAAATGGAGAGAATTGAGAATATGATTGGTGCAATGTTTTCGCATTGACAAATTCTGAAGCAGTAAGAATGATCTAGTTTCTTGGGCTAAGAGAGTAAAAAGTCTCATTTTGCTGCATTATTGGCAAAAGCAAGCTCATAAATAAAGTTACCTCAGTGTAAATCGTCGAACCAGTATATTCAGTGCAATCGGTTGCTTCCGTTTAGTTTGCTCAGTAACGAAGAATATCATTGCGAGTGGACGCTTTTGCACTTTATCCGTGCTTTGAGTTTACACTAAAACTTTGCTTGTTAGTGTATTTCGCAATAGTAAATAAATGTGAAAAATACGCTAAAATTTGGATAGTCGTCTTGACATATAACTTAATTAGTAAAATATGACTCTGTTAATGTCAAGTATCTTTCGTAGATTAGCAGCTTTTAATAAAATGTTTCATTGCAGTAGTTAGTGGCTGTAGAAATTTAAAACAAAACGTATTTAAACTAAAGCATGAGATTTTAATTGTTTTGTGTAAAGAGATTTACCAGTGATTTCGTTTTGTTTTACATTTATCTGAATGAAGAAAATGAATGAAAAAAAATAAAAGTTGTTGTTAAAAGATAACTAGTGCTGATATCAAATGGATTCAACTGAAAACAAAGAAGTGTGAATTATTCATTTTCTATTGATTAAGTTAATTTCCACTTTAAATTGCTTTAACAAATTAAAGTGTTATGAAATTTTGAAAAGTATTATTTATGTTTTAATTTCAATTATTGATATTTAAACTTAATGAATTGAATTAAAGTTTTCACTTTGTTTCTATCAAGTTAATCTAAATTTTGTTCCAGCAGCAAACAAAATTTGCAATTATTAAAAAGACATTAAAAGTGTGATTGCATATTGAGAGTTAAAAGTGACCCACAAAACCATTTAAACTTATACCTGCTGTGTCTTAAATATTAATAAAAATACGAAAGGAATAAAAAGTAACTGAAAGATTTTTTTTAATTTTGCTGTGTAACACTATAAGTTATTGAACTATATTTTGTTCAGTGAGAAATGATAGTGAGTGAACTAAACAACTTGGTACTTAGCATTACCTTTGGCTTATCGGCACCAAGGCACTGCTAGTCTAAGTTGTTCTTATTACAAAAGAATTGCTCGCTCATTAAGGAAGTAATCAATCCTTATAAACAACAAATTCTTTATGTTTACCTTCTCTATCAGTACTCGTTTAACAGAATAAGTCTCTGCATTCCTCTAGTATCAATTTAGTGGTATATTAATAATGTATTTAAATTAACTCAAAAATTGTGTTGTTCAATTTAAATTAAAAGTTTTGAGTTGGAAGGAATTTGATCTAATTTACTTTAATTTTGTTTATAGTTTAATGAATTCAAGAATATTGTATACTTAGAAAAAATTAAGTTGTTTAGGCTTCCAGGGGTCTGTTCAGGCCAAATTTACAACCGTTTAGCGGTACCTTCACAAATTCAACTTTAGGAAAAACGGTAATTAAGTTATTAAAAATTTATTTAACGTTTTTTTTGTATCCCTAGGAAACGATAAATCCATATTTTTGTGTTGATTTTTTAATATAATTTTTAATTTTCACAAATTATGTCTAAATTTTCACAAAATAGGTACCTGTCAGAAAAACCTAGACAGACCCCTGGTTTCATGCTTATTAAGTGAGGCAATTTGTATTATTTTACTTCAGTCACTGAAATAAAACTTGAGACTAATTCATAGTTTCGTGTGTTTTCAACAAAATATCAATAAGTCGATCCTCGCCGGCCGAAGACTCCCCGTGTAGTAAATGGTGACTGATGCACGTTAAATCTGTCAAGTCTCAAAGTCCTCCATGTTCCCACAACAAATCAATACCTCTGGGGGTACTGATCCAGGAGTTTCCTTGTCTTCTGGATTGGTTCAAAATTACAAGGCTACGGAGTTGAACGTAAGTAGTCGTAAACCCATGAAATTGGGTCGGCTGTTCAACGACGGTTATAAAATATCAATAAGAGTCATGGTGTCTCGAGATAGAACGTACGCGTCCCTACCGTATTACCAAGTTGAACCCGTTTCAAATCCCTGCCATAGCAGGTCGATACCAATTCTGCACCTGGCTCGCACCAACCACAGTGCTGAGGTATAATATCCTCAGTAGTAGATGGATCATGGGCTATAGTCTTTTACCATCAAGCTAACTGTTGGAGGTTTTGTAGTTTTCCTCTCCATTTAATTTTTGTGTTTTTTTTTTCCTCCATAAGAATTCCTCAATAATTTCAATGATTATGTAATACATAACATAAATTAAAAACAGAAAAAATGTTGTTTAACTAAATAAGTTACTTATAGTTATTTGAAAATAATTATTATTAAACATAAGATTTAAAAAGAATTGTATTTGTAATTTTTTTTTGTACTAAACTTGATGACAATTATGTACATTAGTTTCTAATAACTATTTTTAAATGAATAAGATTCAAAAAATTTGCCCAGAAATTGAAATTAATAAGTTAAAAAAATAAGTTACTTTATGATAAAGTAAAGTAATTAGAATTTTTTCTTGAAAAAAAATTAACTAAATTTACAAATAGTTAAAAAATTTATTCATTCAAATCTCCTTTCTTTCAACTAGTTTTTTCCAAGTCAGATTTTATAGTTTTATTGTATTTTTATTTGCATTGTTTTTGTAAATAAAGAAAAACATTTTGTTTGCAGCTATCGACATCTGAGGAAGATGATAAAAAGTTTGCAAGTGAAGCTGTAAAATTTGTAATTGGTCATACTCGAAATGGGTTTGTTTCATTGTGTGCAAGTGTTGCAACATTACTGAAAGAAAAAGCTAAGTTAGTTCTTTCTATCTATCTATTTTTTTCATATGCTCTCTGCAATCTGTTTTTTGTATGATATAATAAATTTGTAATATTTAAAAGATGCAAAGGAGAAAAAAATGAAATGAAGTGCAATAGCTTATCACCAATAACACTAAATATTGAATTTCATAATATGCTGTCAAGAAAAATAAGAGGGCATTCTACATATATGGTATACAAAAGGATTATTATTATTCTTTTTAAGTGTGTAGCAGGATTATTAGTTTCTAATGGAGAATTTGAATTGAATTATTAAATGTAAAAAGGAAGATAACTAGGCCAGTAGTCTTTCATGTATGACTTCATGCAAAGGGTAAAACTTAAAACGGAAATTATGTTTGTTTTTCCCCAAAATTAGATACCAGAAATCATCTTCCGTTTTCCTCTTTTTAACATATAATATTGTTCATTTAAGCAATAGAAAAATTAAAAGAGGCTTAGAAACTAGAGTTGGCGAAATTTCTGATATTTTTTTTTATTAAAATAATTTTTTCTTCTTCATTTTTTAAGTTTACCAGCCAGTAAATGTGTTAACGGCGCTTAATATTTTTTAAAAACAATAATATAACTTAAATAGTTGATATTTCTAACTGAAACGTTTCAAAAAATTTTATTTATTTACCATGATTACTAAAATTAATCACTGATTAAATAAAATCATTGTTATTTTTGCTCAAGCTTAACTTTCTAAAATTTTGAAGATAGGAAGGCAATTTATCAGTTAGATATCAGATGAAGAATAAATTAGTTTAGATCAGAATACATTAAAGGGAAAAAAATCTTGTAAGTTTCTCGGAGCAGAGCAAGTCTTTCTTCAATATTGGTATTAGCTAACTAAGTATTTAATAAGTTTTGAAAGCGCTTTGAGCAGACCTGTATAAAAAACGCGAATGCCGTTCACAGAAAATTTGTCACCATTGTGGGAAATTTTTTACATTACTAATGAAATTTTTTTTTAATTAAATGTTGATATTCGTATTTGCGTAATTTAAAAATCACGCATTGAGATCCATAATCACACAATTTAAAAAAATAAATAACATCTCACATTGATATTTTTTATTGAAATGTTGATAACATTTTGTGGATAAATGGTTCTTTTTAAACTTTTTTCTTGCTCAAATTTCAGGTACTTTTTCAATTATTTTAAAAGTGTCTTTACACGTAGCATTTTTGGATTCTCAGCTTTTTTGTTTTCTTTTACCAAACTTACCCCTGCGGTACGAACTAATGTAGAAATCTATAAAAATTAAAAAAAACATTTTAATAAAACTCCTGTGATTTTCAAACGAAATTTCGCGAAGATGATGTGGCGACTAGTTACAAGAGTTAATTAGTGCAAGCAGAAAATTTTTATAAGATTTGGTGTTTGCAGGAAGTGCAAAGAAAGCTATTGCACAGTTTGTGAAAGTATTTTTTTCAGTTCCAATTGATTTTTCCTTTTATAAATTTCTATTATATTTCCTATTATGTAAATACTATTTAAATAAGGTGTTATAAATTGTTCCATTGTCATTTATCTAAACTAAAAAGATCCTAATACTTTAATTAAATGTTAATAGGAGATTTTCAATGATATAATATAAATTCATATTTGTTAAATTGCAATTTTTTAAAAATTACTCTATTTTTGTTAATTATTAATCTATTAAATGTTGTCTTGTATTTCATATTTGTATTTTTCCTTTTTTTATTTTGTAGTTTGGAAAAGGAAAATGAAAGTTTAAAAGGTCAAATTGAAAGTCACAAAAAATCACTAAATCCACCTTTTGAGTTAAATTCATTAAATCAAGTAGAAAATTGTTTGAGCTATTATGGAACTTCAAAATTTGTTAGAGATGTGGATCAGATAAAATCGTTTAAGTTTAGGAGAAAAGTAAGTTAATAAATTCGTAAGTTCTTCTCATTTATTGACAATCTGATTAATATTATTAAATTATTTTACAGTTTTGTGTATATGTTTTGTGATGTCTGTTAGGTATAATTCTACGTACAATTGAGTGTCTCTTAAATGAAATTGATTTGTTAGTTAAGAATTTTACTATTGGTTTAGAAATTTTTATTGCAAAATTTTTAGCTGCTCTGTTAAGTTCAAAAGTATATTTAATTATAATTTTTAATTTAAAACAAAGTAGCACATATAATAAATATGATGAAATTTATTATTTTTTATTGTATATGTACAAGACTAAAAAAAAAAAAAGACTCAATATGCAATAAAGAATAATTTGAACTTGTGTTTACTTAGTTATTTTATTTCAGAATTTTTTTGCATTTTATGATGTTAAATTTTCATAAACATTCTGCTGCTGTTGGTTTGAAAAAGAAATAATTGATTGCCTATATTTACTTGAAAAAATTTTATATGTCATTGCTAATACAAATAATGAAAGAGGTTTGAGAAATAGGAACGTTTCAGTGTGAATTGGATTCTTAAAAATTTTAACTTTCAATTGCGTCTCTTATAAAAAATTATGAAAATCCGAAATGGTTTTTAAAATTTTGGTATTTCAATAATAAAAATCTAAAATATTAAAAATTTAAAGAAAAAAAATGTTCACGAATTTCAAAACTAAGGTACCTATATGCCCTAAATGCTATTCCAATGGTTTGAATAATAATCTTTTTTAGAAAATAAACCTTTTTTAAAATGCAATATATCTGTATATTAGAAAAATAGCTCAGGGTGTCATTTAAAAATATTGTTGGGCAGATAAACACGCAGACAAAATATTGATGGATAGAATCATGTATGTTGAGAAACCATCATGAAATAGTAATGATACAATTTGAAAATTGTGTTTACTATAGCCTTTATTATGTACCAAATTTTGCCCTAGAACCAAGCAACAGATAAACTGTTAAGTGGGTAATCAGAAGTTTGCTTTATTTAAAAAAATACTGAAAGCTAGGGTTTACAATTTCCATGAACAAATCCAGTTTTTTTGCCTCCTACTGTGCATTCTAATATATGGTCTAAAGGGCATTTTTTCGGATTGATAATTTTAGGTTATAGAACTGAATTGTTAGGTGCACTTTTAGACATTGGAGAAAATTTAAAAAAAAAAAGGAAAATTGAGAAAATAAAGAAGTGCTTTTAGAATAGGAAAAGATAAAAACAAGTAAAGTTATAAAGGCAACAATATTTGAAAAATATAAAAGCAAGAAATTAGAATGCATAGAAAAATATTTATGTTGCAAAATATAAAGTTAAGCAACCATCACTATTGTTCTAAAAGGATACCTAAAATTGGAAAAATAACAAAGATTAATCTCACTTAGCATTTTACATTTAAACTATTGATTTTATGAACATTAAATAATGTTTTTTTAAACGTTTGTAAAATTCAGAGACTTAATAAATGTTAATGCTATTTGATTAGAATTTTAACAGCGTGTGCTACAAAAGTTTATGCACACATAAATTCTTTTTATAAATTCAAAAATAGTGCATATTTTTCCAATAATTTTGAATGCATAATAAATAGATAAAAAAAGATACCAGATAAAATGACTTAAACTAAAAGCATTTAAAAAAAATTGACATTTTTATCAGTTTTAACTACCACATAAGTTTTAACTACCACAAATAACAATATTTATTCAGAGAGAAAATAAGCTACCAAATTTTTATAATTGATTTGATAAACCATTTTTTAATCAACTGAAACTCAGTTTTGTATTTAATACATAATTTAGTATTTTTCTTTATTTATATTCTACAATGCTATTTTAACGTCTTCTTTCAATTGCGTTTCTGATTAGTACAACTTACCATTCTCATATACAGCTCGTAATATGATGCCTCAAAACATTTTCTATGGCAGGGGTGGCGAACCTTTATACACTAGCGTGGCATTTTTTCTAAAAAATTGTTTAATGAGGTCATAGACGTGCCGTCAAATAATTTTGACTTCATGATTATTGGGATAATAATAATACTAAATACTATCAACTCAAAACTCTTTATTTACATTGAAAAAAAAAAACATTTTTTCCAAGTCTTAAAACAACTTAAAGTAACATCAGTGTGACTTCTGTTTAGATAGATTAGATGACAAATAACTTATATTAGGTTGTAAGATGTTAGTTTAAGCAAGACTGTTAATTTTTTTTTTGCTAGTTATATATTGTTAGCTTGCTTTTTATGATTATTAATTGTTTTTTAGAATTAATTGTTAATTTTTTTATTAATAATTGTTTATCATTTCCTTTGCTTTTTGTGAATTTTAATTTAATTGTTATGTTACATATGCTTTATAGTGTAATAATAATGGGATCGGTGGCGTGCCCAAAATATTGTGTCTCGTGCCAATGGTTCGCCATCCCTGTTCTATGGGCTTAGACCAGGACTAAGTAAAGGGTAGTTTAAAACTACAGTCATTTTAGCCCTAATCAAATGAAACAGTCATGTATGTAGATTTATGTATGTGGCATTGTTTTGTTGGAAAACCCATTTAGGCCCGTCTAATGTATCTCTGAAAGGTAGAAAGAGGTTCCTTAGTGTATTTTGATAGCCAATTGACTCTTCACAATCTCTGAAAAAACTAGTTTGACCATGGAATTCGAAAAAGCCCTAAACTGTAAGCAAGGCTCCACTATGTTTTCTGATAAATGCATCACTTAGGATCTTTGCCAATAAAAACCGTTCCCATCTAGAACACTTTAATTACTCTGTTATTATACCAAACAACACACCAATCTATTCATAGCCATATAATATGTACGTACCAACCCAATCTGCTCTTGCTTGTCTATGATATAGTAAAAGACAAGGAATTTGAAATTGCGCCTTATGCTGTTTCTGATTTCACGAGTTTGTCGATAAATAAAATCTTTTGATACCGTATGGCCCATTTTATTTTTAACATCATTTGTTAAAACAATTTTGATTAAAAAGCCAATTTTTGAACTTTTCTATTTTTTCTATAAGTTGTTTTTCGACTTTTTACATCATAATTATGGTTTCTGATTTTTTACCACGAAATGAAACTCTGCATATATATATTTATTTAGGCTGAAATTTCTGAAGTTGACATATTTTTAAATTTTAACTTCTGAAAATTTATTTATTCATGAACTGTTTTGAAGTTGGCTTTCCGAATAAATTTTGAAAGCAATTTTAAGGATTCATAATGATAGCGGAAAATATAACAACTTGGTGCTATTTGTTAAAAATCTGGATTTATCTACTCCTGTTAGGCAGAAAAGCTAGAAAACTGTAAAGAATTTTTATTCTCTAATTCATGAAAATTATTTAATTAAAAGTAACTGCATAATTATGTATCCCATCAACATAAAACAGTTTAGTTTATGTATAGTGAATAAATTGGATTCGAAATGACATTAAAATATTTTTTATTCTGAAATATATTTGCAAATTTATAATGTGAATTTAGTCATATCTCAAGACAACAGCCAATGACAGGTTTCCTCTATTGCCTCCTATGCCTCAGACCGCAATTTTTCTTTTCTTTTTTAAGCAGCAAAAGCTCATTTTTTGTAATCATTTATCATTATTTTGAAGATTTAGAATTGACAAAATTTAAGATTTAATCTACAAAATGTAATCCTAAAAATACATTCCAAGTTCCTGTTTTAGAAAAGTGTGTGCTGTAAAAAAAATTTTATTTTCCTGAGTGTTTTTTTTTTCCATTTGAGTATTATGATTCATGTAACTTTAGTTAACAATGTGCATAACAATAAAATATTATTTTTGTGAATTTAGGATGTTTGTCAAGTGTATAGGTCTGTAAGATATTGTTTATGCAAGGTATGTGCCAAAGAGTTAATGCAAGACAAAATATCTCCTCCTTTAAAAAATGGTGATAGAATTGTGGTTGCTGGCGAAATATGTGGATCCGTAGTATATTTTGGTCACATTGATGAATTGAATTTTCCTGAAATATTTGTTGGACTGCATTTAGATGAAGCAGGTAAAGTACATAATTTTCTAGTTGAATTAAATTTGTAGCAGATAGATTTCTTTTGACACAAATAATGGAAAAACTAAATACAAAATTCTATTTCAATGATATTTTTTGATTAATTCAAAAACAGAGAAAACAAGAGCTTGAAATTTAAAGAAAAAAATAGTTTATTTTGTAAAAAATTTGTTTTTTATGCCTGAATAACTATTTTTTAGAGTAGAGATCTTCATACAGCATGCGAATATCACCAATCTGGTCTGAATCAGTTTATTATTATTTTAAAATTTGCAATGTGAATAAATGCAAAATAATAACACAAAAATAAATAAATAAAAATGCAGTAACTAATATACATATTGAAATCGAACATTTTAATTGTAATTATTGATATAAAAATTTACAATAAGTAACATGATATCACACCAAAGCTATCTCACTTAATTGCTGATTATGAAGCAAAATGTTGCACGCACATCATTCATAACTGCAGTGTAATGGAATAATGATTAAGCTAGCAGTCATCATTTTAGACAAAGGATCATTATTTTAGCTAGTTAGTAGAGGTTCAGTGCTAATTGAAAATTTTTACTTCATGAAAATACAAATCTCAATAGATTTATTGAGAAATCAAATCTATACATTTTTATGGTATTTGCAAGTGTAAAAAAAATTATATACATGTTTTATAATTTTGCAAACGGAAATTTTATTATATTTTTTATATTCATTTATTTAAATAGATTTTTATAAATAAAATTTTTAATTTAAGAAAAAAAATTTTAAAGAAACATTCATTTTAAAAAATCTTATTTATAATAGTTGATTGTTATTTTAATTAAATAAACAAAGTTACTAAGCCATACAAAGGGATTAAAATTTGCTTTGTTGTAATAAATATTTTGCGGTTAAAAAAAAAAAAGTAAAAATTTCTCGGTTAAAAATTCTTTACATTCATGTAATTTGAAAATAAAAAAAATAAAGAATTAATAAAGACAATAACAAAAAAATTTTAAAAAACAATTTGTATTTTACAGTGGGTGATTGTAATGGAACTATTAACAGAAAAACCTATTTTGAAGTGCCATCAGCATATGGTCTATTGGTGCCTCTCTTCAATGTATGTTGTATTATGAATTGAATACTTTGTAATGTATTATTTTGTTGAATGAAAGTCTGTTTTTAAACGTAAAGTTTGGATTGTTTGTAATGTAAATTGTATTCAGTGGCATACAAAAGTTTTAGCTCAGTATATTTGATTACAACAAAATAAAATAAAAATTATTTGTCTTTGAAAACAATTTGATATTTTCAATACAGGATACTATTAATATCTTTTTAAAGTTTCATGTATTAATAATCAGAAGCTGAAAGAAGTTATATAAAATATACTGGCCGTAAACTTTTCATGTTGCTGTATATGCAATAAATTGCGGTTGTATATTGTATTACTGTTAACTTTTTTACTTAGTGGTGAAAATGAGTTAAACCTCTTGAAGGATAAGCAAGGTGTTAGCGTTAAACTACTAAAAAAATTAAACATTTGTGAGAAGTGAAGATTTATTTTCATTGCAAGTGTTGACACAATTCTTATTAGTCAGAAATTGATAAATCACACTCATTTATTATTTACAATATCTAAAAAGCACATAAATAATTGAATATTTACAATACATTTTACAGGATTACTTTCTGTATAAAAATAAATAAAATTGATTCAGATGCTTCATTGCATCTGATATTACAAAAGTTATGATTAGGAAAACATGAGATTCAGAATAATTTTCTCATAAATGTACCATTTAATATTTAATTCATATTTTTGAAATATAGTAAAACAAGCACATATTCCTTCTCCATATTGCTATAATGAAATGATTTTGTCAAATGCAAAGTATACTTCAATTTGGAAGACATTGATTTTTTTTTTTATGAAAAATAAAGAATTGTTTGTTTAAATAGAACATTTTAGTTTGTTAATAACTTTCTGAATGAAAAGCAATACCTGAAATATATTTTTAAGCTTAATAACAAATAAAGCACCTTTTTACTCAATTACAGAACTAAAAAGATATGTTATTTTTGGATGAAACATTTTTTTTTTTTAATTTTATTTACAATATTTTTTTTTCTTTCTAAAAAGGGTTAGGTCAGTAGCAAATAAAGTTTTCAGAATTTAAAAATAGAATTTTAGGCATTAAGTACCATTGCTTGAATTTTCTAAAGGAAAATGCTATAAGGATGCTATATGACTTTCAGATTTATATTTACACAGTATACAATGATGGAATCTATTTTAATAACTTAAAATGAATTTAACTCTTAAAAAAATCAGCATAAATATTATTCAATAACTATATGTTGATGTATTTATGGAGACAAAAACATTAATTTGTATTTTATTATTACATTAAGCATTGTTCTCTTTAACCATAAACATATCAATGCTAATGAAAAATTTTCCATTGAGAATATGCTTAGAGAAATGTGCTGACATACATAAATTATTGCAAAAAATCTAATTTCTGCTTTGAAATGCATGGACTGACACACTTTCAGAAAACATAACTAAACTTATTTTATTAGGAACTGCTATAAAAAATTGCATAGTTGCATCGTTTGAAATACAACAGAAAATTTGCATAGTAAAATCTCTTTAAAAATAGGATTCTCAGGACAGCATGCAACTTTTTTTAGCTTATACAGCCCTTACATTAAGTTTAAACTGTATTCAAACAAAGGTTTATTGTTTCAACAAACCAGTTGTATCACCACATTTTGTGTCCATACATTTGCTGCCAAAAAAATGAACTTGAAAAATTCATTGGATTCGATTATTCAGGCACAGAATCAGATCTTTATGGTAGACTATAAAAAATAATTGGGTGATATTTTCCCCACAACTGAGATATTTCAGATTTTTTTTTAAAACTTTCTTTGACTTAAACATGGTGCATTTTTTCTGAAAGGTACTAAGAACCGAATATACAACTTTTTAACAATAAAAAATATTCACTTAGTGCAATTTGAAAATCTAATCTAAATACTTTACTTTCTTACTAGGCCAAAAAAATTTTTTAATTCAACTTAAGTTCAGAAATGATGCTAATTGTTCATAGAGTACAGAAAAAAAATTTCAATGTCATTAAGTGATATTGTTGGTTTAATTATTTGATGCAGAACTCTTAGCTTGTTTGTTCTAAGTCTATTGTATTAAACCAAAAGCTGAATTTTTTTTATCTGTACGGTAGTCTTTTAAAGAAACGGATATTAGTGCTGCATTTCTAAAATTGAAAATTTTTACTTGTTATACAATTGTAGAAATACAGCATTATCGTCTTTTGTTTTTGGCATTTATTTTTCAAAACACACAAACAGAGCTTATATTTTCTCGATTGATAGACTAGGTGTTTAAATAAATTTAGCATAGGTAAAACAAATTTAACTTAAAAAAAAGAAAGTTATGTTTATTATTAGAACACTGACCTTTACAGTGAATTAAAACAGATTTATTAAATGCAAATATTTTCTATACTTCCTAATTTTTAATTTCTAATATCAACATTTTCTTTTTCAATAAGTATGGCACAGTCAGTTTTTAAAACAAATAAAAATATATACATTTATATTTTAATTTACATACTTTCAAACAAATGAATATTCACAAATGTAAATCTTGCTTAAGTAGCCTGAGAATTATGATACCCATAATAGATCAAATTAAAACTATTTTTTAAAGTGATTACATTTAGTACCTTCAGAGTGCTGTAACTAAAAAGTTAAAATGGTGGGAATTTTATCTCATATAATTTATATGAAGATATGTATACCAAGTAAATTTATTTTAGAAGACAAGCAAAAAAAAAATTTAGTCAATACTAAAAGTTTCTTTAAAATTAGAGATGTTTTATTGTTTTCTGATCGAAAATGAATTTTTGAGGAAATTTAATTAGTTCCTAAAAAGAGTAATACCAGCATTAAATGGTGAAGCTTGAAAAACTATTAAATGATTTTTGCTTTTTTATTATTGGAATGCTATTTAAAATAAAATAAGATTTTATCAGTGAAATCTTCCACAAAACATTTAAATAATAAAAAATAATATTTATATAATAAAATTTAAAAAATTAATGGATGCATTTAATTTCGGATTAAAATTGCAGCTAAATTTAAATTATTAACATTAATTTTTTTAAAGCTTAATTAATTTCGGCACAAAGTTTAAATATTATAATATGAAAGACATCAACATTTTTTGAAAAAAAGAAAAGGATTGAGAATTTAGTTCTAAAGAAATGAAACAGAATAAGTATTAATTTTTAATTTAATATGCTATTTTTCACAAAAAAAAGGAGACAGAATAGCCGATTTATTTACTTGCTTCAGTTGTCTTGAGCAAATAAAATTAAAAAAATAAGTTATTGGAATAATTTTTAAAAAAGAGAGATTGATCATGATAAATTTTTAATTAAAGTGAAAAAAAGAAATAGAAAATCCCAGAGCATACTCTTTACATTAAAAAAAAACAAACACTCAGTAATACTTTTGGCATACTACATATTTTAACTTATATCATTGATTACAGATATTTAATTTTCAATTTAGGTTATAATAAATAATTATAAATTATTATTTTCCATATGTATATTGTACTATGGTATACTAATAGTTAATATTGCAAATAACCAATGCATACAATAAAAGCCTATATACTTAAGATATTTGCATTCTTGCAAAAGTCAATAAAAACATGACTGCAGAAATTGTAAGTATTGCTTATAAACTTATTCATTTGTCAGAATTAAGCTCTCACAAAAATTTTAATTATTACCTCATTTTTATTGATTTATGGTTTGCAGGATTAAATGTGTAAATTTTCAAAAATAGTACGATTTTATTTTTTTAATAGACATAATAATCAAATTAGACTATTTCAGAAATCAAAATGTCTTTACAATTGAGTTTACAATAAAATAGAAACTACTGCTAGAACACAACATGCACATAGTTTTGCATAGGATATTGTACACGATCAGTCAGTTTAGTGAAAAGCATTTAACTTGATTAGTATCACATTAATCAAAAATCTTGTAAAAAGATTTTTAAGCTGCCATTAAATGGCACCAGAGAATGAATTGCTACACACGGCGACATTTTGAACACATGCAGTATACTCAATGCATGAGAAAACAAATGTAATGAGAAATATAAATAATGAATCTTTTTATATAAATCACTGGTCAGGTGTCCTCTTCATACTCCTTTGGTTTACCCAGATAACAGTTAGAGAGAAAACTAAATTTCGAATTATTCTTTATTGCAGAATAAATATCTGATACAGTTATTTCTTCTGGACATCTAGAAAGAACAGATAAGGATATAAAAATTTGATCAATTCTAAGGAAAAGAGGAATTAACGTTTTAAGTAAATTATACTTACAACTTTCCCCCTAATCTATCAAAACCTTCATTGACTGCATGACTTATCAGATCAGAAGCGAGTTCTCGACAAGACTGTAAAGAAATCACATTTGTTTAAAAAATTTTAATATGTAAATTAATTTAATTTTGTTTTCAGTGGAAACCTAAACCTATTTGTTACAGGGCGCATAGCCAAATCTTTCAACAAAAAACAAGCACCTTTTAAGGACTATATACATTAACAAAATGCAAAATAGTTTTCAAAGACTACATGATCATGATAAAATAACCAGTTTCTGATAAAGAAATCTTTTCTTGATTATATTAGCCACCATAAAAAGATCCGAGAGATTTTTCGGTTCGATTTCAGAGGGCAAGAATCTCACCGAACCCAGCTCAGCATATGTACATACCGACCCACAAGTATTTCATCTAACATGTAAAACGATTGGTGCTTTCATATGCATGGTACGTCGAAATGCATTGTGTTAGAATGAAAAGAACAATGTGAAAAACACACGTTACGTGGCTAAAGTAGACATGATAAAGAAAAAAAAAATCTCATTTTCGGGAAGGGAAAATTAAGCATGTTTAAAAAACACCCAATAAAAAATGCACTTTAAAGGTCTTATAAAAATCATAAATAAGTGCCTTTAAGCAATTTTTAAAAACACTGCGCACCATGTGTTAGGATATCAGAAATAGAGTTAAATCTTAATACCATAAATTCTAAAGGAGATTCTAATTTAATTTAATGAATCATGATGATGAGTGATTTCAGAATCAAATAGTTACTGTTTTGGTTTTTTAAAAAATTATATAAAATGTATTTAATTATTCAACAAGAAAATAATAACTATTAATTTGAAACTACATTCATTATTTATACATATAGAGTTTACATTTTGTTAGTTTACAAAATTTAGGTTTTCCATAGTGTAAAAATTATCACACAGATTTCAAATATAGGTTAACATTTCTTATGACCTACAAAAATATTTTGTGAAAGCAAAGATCAGCATGAAATGAATTTGATTATTATTGAAATAATAAATGAGAAAGAAATTCAGATTTTTTCATAACATCAAAATGACCAATCGTGGTTGATCAGGGAATAAAGCGCTGACATCCCAATGAGGTGACCCAGGTTTGAATGCCATCATTGGCTGGTCGATATGAATTCTGCACCAACCACAGTACTGGCGAAAAATATCCTCAGTGGTAGGCGAATTATAGGTTAACCATGGGAGGTTTTCATGGTTTTCCTCTCCCATGGTCTCCATGCAAATGCTGGTTAGTTCCATGACATAAATTTATAAATATATTTCAAGATAAAATGTTGGCAAATTTTTCCCAGTAGTTGATCCAGTAGTTCACTTGTCTTCTGGATTGGGTTCAAAATAACAGGGCTACGGAGTTGAACATTGGTAGTCGTAAAAAAAAAATTTGGTCGGCTGTTCAACAACAGTTAAAAAACATAAAGTAAAATATGAGGATGAATTGACCATTCAAAAGTTAATAATTTCAGATTTTTTTTCCACATCAACATGAATTGTACATTAAAAACAGGGCTGGCAAAAATATGATGAAATCAGATTTAATTCCTTTTCTTTTTTTTAAGTAAAAAAATTATCTTTACCAGCCAAATCATTTGAGAAAATGTATTATGAATATTATTTAAAAACAATATAATACATTAATTGATTTAAATCAATGATTTTTTTTATAATAAAAATAAAGCAATTTTAAATTATGTCAGCCCTGATTAAAAGGAACAACAAAAAAAAAAAAAGAAACTTAAATGAACTTACAGCAAGAATCATTTCTTCTACAACTGGCACACACAATGATGGTTCCAATTCCACTGGTTTAAGATTCACCCCTAACTGAAATGGTAATTCTCGATTAGAATATTTTTTCTTTAATATTTCTAGCAGTTTATATTTAATTGTGCATTGATAAAAAAAAAAAGTTTATGCAATGACAGAAAGCGATGACTTGAATTAGTACCCAAAGCATATGATCATTTTGGTACAATCATATAATAATATCTTTGTCAGTGAAGAAGTAAAGAAAGAAAAAAGTTACGAAACTGACATTCTTTACTTTGGCAATGACAAAATTACTTCTGCATGGTACTAAAATTGACATTTGCTTTATGAACCTGTTCATTTTATTATGCTTATTTGTTTGGTATCAGGGTTCCCACTCTATGATGAGATTGAAATTCAAGGACCTCAACAAAATTTTCAAGGACCTTAATCTAAGACCAATTTTAAAAATTATTCTCTTCTATTTTACTAGAAGCAACAATGCTTGTTGTGGCAATAATTAATTTCAAATATAATACCTAAATGCTTTGCCTATATAGAGAGAAGAGAGTATATGTATTATGGACTAAAATTTATATTTTT